TAAATGTACATTTACCTTTTGTAACCTCTATCTTCTCATTTCTGATGCTGGCTCTTGAATATCCTCAGGTTAGAAATGCTGATTACAAACGCAAGCGTGAGCTTTTAAAGATAAGTTTTCCCTGTAATGCTGTGATCCACTGCTGTCACCTCCTCATCAAGAGGAAAATGGAGAAAAACTAACTACTCAATCGTTTCTGCTGCCTAGTGGACACAATGGCACACAACAGAACTCACGTTTTATACCAGTAGATCACAGATGCTTTAACTTTTGTGACTTCTTCATGGACTAGCAGCTAACGCTAAAAACATAGGCAGTAAGCAGGGAGTGGAAGGGAGAAGCGTGGCAAGAATTTTACMRGAAATACGTCATTAATAACCGTGGCATATAGGCTTTTACAGCGCCTGGGGAGCAGCTGGGGGGTGAATGGCCTTGCTCAGGGGCCCAAAGTGGGGCTGGTTGGTCCGGGGAGTTGAACTGGCAACCTTCCGATCACAGACTCGGCTTCTCTACCCTCTGCGCCACSACTCCACCCCAAATTAGACTACAAATTTAGATTTGTAGTTTGATCTGTAACAAGTTAACAACGGCATCTAGACAAAACGCATCCTGTTTTCTGCCCATATTAAAACCATGGTACTTTTTGGAATGCTGGTTATCCCGATTTTCTTTTTTTTTTTTTAAAAGGCAGAAAAGGATAGAATGGTTCGTTCAAACGTTTTAAATAAAGTCCAACCTGCTGCTGCCGGCTGCTGCTCCTCCTCTTGTTGGTTCCAGATGGAGCTGCTCGGTCCTCCTCGATCTCTTTTAGAGTAATAATCTTGCACATCTGCAGGCAGAGTCCTCCGGACGGCCCAGCTGGATGCTGAAGACCAGCCTGACCGGTCCACCATAGACTCTCCTGGCTCAGACTCCTTCTTTCGTCCGCCACGGTTTTCATTGAAGCGGCTGTAGGAGTCGTTTCCTGAATTGTTGCCTTTACCTGAGAAGTTGTTCCTGGGCATCCAGCGGTTGTCAGTGCTGTCATCCTGTTGGTTGTAGAAGTTACGATTGCCACGTTCAAATCCTCCACGACCCCCTCGGCCAAAAGACTCTCCACCGCTCCTGCGTTGGTCTTCCCAACGTGAGCCAGTGCTGAAGCCAGAGTCCCGGCTCCTGCTCTCACTTTCACTCCGAGTCTTTTCTGTCACCCAGTCTGGATTTTCAGACCAACCCTGGCGATCGATGGAACTTTCTGGTGTAAGACCGTTTTCAAAGCGGCTAGTGCTTCCATATCTTCGTCCATCGTGACCAGAGCTACCATCACCCCCAGACTTCCATCCACCTCTACGTTCCTTCCTCTGAGGAGACCGCTCTCTGGAAGGTGCGCGTTCAGGACTGGATCCTCGCCTGTAGGATCTTGTTCTTGATCKGGATCTAGATCTAGACCGAGACCTTGATCTAGAGCGGCTCCTGGATCTCCGACGCCTCCTGTCGCGACTGCGGTTCCTCCTAGAGTAGTTTCGCTCTCCGTCTCGGTCCCTGTCTCTGCTGCGAGCTCGTGAGGACCGACCTGAAGGCACACTGCCGTCACGTTCTCTTGACCGTGAGCGTCTGGCTGGTTCCCTCTTGGAGTCTCTCTGAGGTGACCAGTTGGACGTTGGGGAGTGGAAGCGAGAGCGCCGCTGCTTATCGCTCTTCCTCTCCTGACTCCATTCCCTCTCCTGTCGTTCGGTGGCGCTGCCGTCCTTGTTGACTTTAGTGTTTTGTGTCTCTGAAGCAGCTGGGGAAGCCTTTATACCTGGAAGATCCAAAAGGGAACTCTTGCCAAGTTCACTCAAAGGCCAACTGCAATCCATGTGCATAACATTTGTGTCATCCTTCGATGTTCCATTGTCGCTGGGTGCAAGGATGTCCTTTGATGTGGTATCTTCCACCTTGAGTGAGGAACTGTCCACAATTGGTGAGGTGTCACTTTCAGGCACGGTACCACCCTTGCCTACGTCATCTTCCTCTTTGAGTGACGCATCCCCCTTTGGAAACACAACCTCTTTGGATGAGACGTACTGCTCCAGCGTGACATTTACCCTGTTGGGCGAGGTGCCGCCTTTGGGCAAGGTATCTTCCTTGACCATGACATCTTCTCCATTGGGCGAGGTGCCACCGTTGGGTGAGGCATCCCCCGTGAGCATGTTATCTTCCCCATTTGGTGAGACATCGCTGCTGGGTGAGGCATCCCCCTTGAGCATCGTATTCTTCCCATTGGAAGAGGTGCCACTTTTGGGTGTGGTATCTTCATCTGAGGCGGCGTTCTTTGCCATGTTTGCCTCTAACTCCCCACCAGATTGTGCCAATTCTTTGTGTGGTTCAACTTTTAATTCTTTCAAAGCTTCTCCAGTGTTGGATTCTTCTGACTGCACACGGATTTCCATGTTATCATCCTGCTCCGTGTGCTCATCACTTTGAGGAGACACCAAGTCTTTCAGCGGAGAGTCTTCAGAGTCAGAGAATGAATGTGAAGTCCTTTTCTGACTCCTGTTTTCTTCAGCCATTACTGGGCTACCTTTTTCTCCTCCTTCTTCCGTTTTGCTTTCAGTACATAGAACAGGGCTACTCTGAGCTGAATCTGAGGAACAAGAGGGGTCACAGCTTCTATCTTCAGCTTTCTTTTCTTGTAGCTCTTCGTCAGATTGTCCCTGAGTCTCGTCATCAATCTGCTCTATACTATTTAAAGTTTCTGAACATCCTTGTTCCTCAGCGAAGTTGAAACCTCTCTGTTCTTCCTGAAGGTCACCTTCAGCCTCGGTTTGCTGCTGTTCTGAATCGTTCACATCCTGCTCTTTAGTTTCATCTACAGTCTCATTTTTATCCCCCTCTTTATCCTTCTCATCATCATCATTTGCCGCTGAGCTGCTGGAATTTTTTCTCTTGGCTTTCCTTTTACCGTTGGCCTTTCGATTCGTTACCCGTTTCCCCTTCCTCTTGGTCGGTGCCGGAGATGGTTTGGTCGGCTTTGCAGATTGCCCAGTGGATGAGTCGGAGTCCGACATACTGGATTGTGTTGGTGATTTAGAATCAGATGTAGGAGCCTCTTCGTTGATTTTACTGTTGCGTCTAGATCTTCTGGAGGGTATAGACACTTGTTCTTTGGTAGATGCTTTGGGTGTTGAAGACCTGCYGCCCCGCTTCCCTCCTCCTTTAGGACATGTGACCGCGCAGACAACACCCTGAAATACTGAGGGAGACAAAAATGTGTAAATTTAATTGGTAAGTTAATCAAGATCTTCACTTAATACTTTTATATTCAAACACAAGTGACACAAACTTCTGCCAAGATTTAATTTTTGACCTTTTGAGGTTAATTACTGTTGACTTTATCAAACAGTGGACAATTAGGATGAACAATAAGAAGAGTTGGAACTCTGTTGCTCAAGTAATTTCACAAAATACAGATTCTAATTTGGGTAACTCACCATCTTACAGTGAAGTCTTTAAACCTATAGTATAATGAAAAGTTTTAAACAAGTGACTTTCAACGAATTAAGGTTTTTGTAACATTTAAAAGCTCTCAAGCAACTGTTCAGACAATCTAAGTACCATAAATAATCCCTTCTATTTTTACTTGTATCAAAGGTAAATCCTAAAAGACCCCAGAAATTCTTCAAACCTGCTAGTTCTTTGAGATTTAACTAGTTCCCAAACATTTTATCCAAAAAGCCAAAATGCCTACTGTGTCCAACATTTAATTCACGGTATCAAAAGACAGACCTGACTCACCAAAATGACTCGGATTCAAGGGTGAGTCGGAGGTAAACGAAGATGAAATGAATCCGTATGGAAACGAGTTGTTCCAACCACTTCTGTGAAAATGTCTGTAAAAGCAAACTCAACTGTGAAAAGTGTGCGCAAATTCAAGTTCTGGAGACAAGCATGATACAACTAATAATGAGAAACTTAACTCAGCTGGCATCTTTCCTTTGAATCAAAGGATTAAGTTTAAGCTAAATAATAGACAGATAATCAGCTGGGTCTGCAGATTGTAACAGCCCAGCATCAGTGCAAGGCTGGGTGCACCTAGGGTTAGGCAAAATAGTATTGTGTGCGATTAATCATCGGAAAAACGGTCACAATTAATATTTGACACCTTGTGATTACTGACTTATACAGGTCCTTCTCAAAATATTAGCATATTGTGATAAAGTTCATTATTTTCGGTAACATACTGATAAACATTAAACTTTCATATATTTTAGATTCATTGCACACCAACTGAAGTAGTTCAAACCTTTTATTGTTTTAATATTGATGATTTTAGCAAAAAAGCAAAGAAAAATCAAAAATCTCTATCTCAAAAAATTAGCATATTTCATCCGACCAATAAAAGAAAAGAGTTTTTAATATAAAAAAGTCAACCTTCGAATTATTATGTTCAGTTATGCACTCAATACTTGGTCGGGAATCCTTTTGCAGAAATGACTGCTTCAATGCGGCGTGACATGGAGGCAATCAGCCTGTGGCACTGCCGAGGTGTTATGGAGGCCCAGGATGCTTTGATGGCGGCCTTAAGCTCATCCAGAGTGTTGGGTCTTGTGCCTCTCAACTTTATCTTCACAATATCCCACAGATTCTCTATGGGGTTCAGGACAGGAGAGTTGGCAGGCCAATAGAGCACAGTAATACCATGGCCAGTAAACCATTTACCAGTAGTTTTGGCATTGTGAGCAGGTGCCAGGTCGTGCTGAAAAATGAAATCTTTATCTCCATAAAGCTTTTCAGCAGATGGAAGAATGAAGTGCTCCAAAATCTCCTGATGGCTAGCTGCATTGACCCTGCCCTTGATAAAACACAGTGGACCAACACCAGCAGATAACATGGCACCCCAAACCATCACTGACTGACAACTTTTCACGTTTTGCAGCGTTTTCTGCCACACTTTTTTCCTTCCCACAGACTTCCCACTGAGGTGCCTTGATACAGCACTCTGGGAACAGCCTGTTCGTTCAGAAATGTCTTTCTGTGTCTCAAGCTGGAAACATACTGCCTCTGACGCCGACGCGCAGTCACGTGGTTGTTCGGCAGTCATTTTCGCACACACCTTTCAACYTTCCRTAGTCCCTGAGACACCCTGCGCCGAGCTCGGGAAACCTCCCCTCCCGCTGCAGCATACGTCACTGCATAGTTTCTCCCCGCAACAGCCGACAATGCAGAAAAAAAAGTCAGACTCGTCACTTACCTGACGTATTTATACACATCTGTCCTGGTTAAAACTCCACAGTTTTTATCAGTCAGATTCCTCCGTCCACTTCTGTTTAATTTCCATTCATGAGTTTTTCACGGTTTGACTATCCTTTTAAAACTCTGCTTCCTGGTAACAGTTGGCTCTGGGCGCGAGTCGGTTTATTTTTTTTTCCTTTTTTTACCGAGTGGTTGAAGTACATGCAGCGCATAGCGCTTTCAGCACAAACAAACACGCTATGAGTTTTTCTCGGTTTGACTATCTTTATAAAACTCTGCTTCAACAGTCTGTTCTAGAAGCAAGGTTTTTTTTCCTTTTGAGTGTCCGAGCGCTTTCAGTTTCAGCACAAACACGCCCACGAACTTCAGACCAGTCACACATTGCCGTCGTCGCGGGAGTGGGGTAAAAACTTCTGCCGGCGGGTTGTGCCAAAGGGGGCTGCCGAGCCCACGCTGCCAACACCGTTGACGTAATTTTCGTCGTGAAACTGCGACAACCCGTGCCGACGTCGGCAGTTTGGAGGGAGTATGTTTCCAGYTTTACCCTCTTGCTTGAGGGTGTCAATGATGGCCTTCTGGACAGCAGTCAGGTCAGCAGTAGAGATTGACCCGATACAGGTTTTTGAAGGCCAATACTGATACCGATTTTTTTGACATCAGTCTAATCGATACGCCAATACGTGCAGCTGATTTTTTTTGGCCAATTCTTGAAGCTGATACTGCCTTTTCTTCCTACATTAACATGACAAAAATAAGAACAATAACAAATGTTACACAAGTCTTAATTTAAAACAAAAAAAAAAAAATTAACTGAGCCTTGTCTGATGCAGGCTGTATGAAGTGCTACCACACAGGATTTCTTCTTTCAGCCCTTTCTTAAAAAAATTTAATTCATGATTTATTTTATCTAGTACTAAATACTCTGTTTTTATTTGTACAATATATTAATCAGATTAATATATTTTTTACATTAAATAAAATGACTATGTTTTAATATCTCAGCATTTTTGATGCAAAAACAGCAACATGTCTAAAAAGGGAAAACAGAGAAAGAAAAAGGAGAGACACACATACATCTTGCTATCTTTGTAAGGACTTCACACACACAGCGCTCACTTAGGAGTGATAGCGAAAAAAAAATCCTGAGCCTGAACTTTTACAACCCCCCCCCCCACACACACACACACACACGTTTGCTTATGTGATGATAATACCAACGTATTACTACAAAAACAATTTAAAAAGGCAGATGTCACTCTATCCAGCACATCAAGAAAACGCAGTTTAAAGTAATTTTGTGCTGAGCAGAGGATTACCTGTGATATATTAATTTAAATATCATTTTGAATTTAACAACACAACTGCAAAATCACTGTTCCAGTGTCAACCTTTAAGGTCCTGTCACACTAGACAACTTATGCCAATTTATGAACATTTTAAAGAGGTAAATGGTGAAGCTGGAATTGAAAAAAATCAACAGAAAGCTTCTTTTTGGCGTGTACTTGATGTAATTCTAACACATTAATCAAATATACAAATTTTAATACCAATTTAAACATAAAAAATGTTTCATAAGTTGGCACGAGTTGTCAGTGTAACAGGGCCTTCATCAGAAAGCATCAACAGGCACTTTATGGGCAACACTTTATGAAGGTTTATATGTTTGAAAAGGACAATTAAAAATACTTGAACATTAAAAACCTCATGACTGATATTTATAGAGACAAACTGCTCAACAAAAACAAAATCTATGTGAAAACTGTCATTTATAATTTATATTTATTATATACATTACACTTTTCATTAAGTCTGCTTCCAAATATACACAATTTTGCTCATTAATCCTTTTTTAATAAAATATAACAAAACAAAACTGTTAAGACTGCTGAATGAAGGAAAAACAGATGAAAAGAATAACATGATTTTTATATGTAAAATTGTTATTAATTTATTATGATTATAACTTATTTGGCTAAAATTACATATTATATTTATTAACTCTGAGAGGAAAATGGGTCTATAGGGAACCAGGTGTTGTCTGTGGCTGAAACATAAATTTCTTTCTCTGTTCTCCAGAGCTCAGAACTGATGTTTGGTTCGGTCGGCCCAGTAAGCACTGTTCTGGAGCAGGTCCCCCTCCCCTATACCCACTAATGAGAGCAGCTCGCATAACTTTTTATTTTCCTTCCTTCCTTCTTTCGCAGATCTTTGGCTGCTAGACAAATAACTTTGGGCTTTGGTCAGATAAAAGATCGGAGGATTTTTATTTTTTGGCTCTGGAAAAAAATGACACAGACGGTGGATTGAGATGTTTATTTCCACGGGATGTGTTTTGTGCTCGTGGCGCGCCGCGCATCAAATAAGACCGTCTTTTTAATAAAGTGCGGGGGTACACTTTTTACCATATCTCCGGTTCTACTTGGCCTAACAACACAATTTAAAAACTGGTTTAAAGTTTGAAGTCTCTACTTTAGGCTCGAATTGAAACAAAGTCTCAGGGAAGGATCTGACAGGTTAGAGCGGTTTAAATGGAAAATGTGATGCCTCAGCAGATGTTATCAATAATCGAYTGGAACATTTTTTTTAAGTAATAAAACTTTACTCAACACATCTCTTGTTAATTGTTAAATTCCAACAACTAAAGAAACATAAACAGCCAATTATAACTGAGACAGGCTGCACACTCCCACAGAGCAGCAAACAATCAACTTTTCACACAACACCTGACGTTTCTCTCAGTAAACACGCACCTGTTGGTTGGATGTTGTTCCCCGGGTCACTGTGATAAAATCCACGCCTGCCTCTGTTCCCCGGCTCCACCTGCCTGCTACYGTTCAGCTAGCATTAGCATCCATCTGCGAGGCTCGTCTCTCAGGTCGAGGAATCAGTAAACGTCTTTCTGCTGGTTTTTCTTCTCTGACAGCTGKTTTTTAAAAAATCTGCCAGCTTCAATATTGTTTCCAGTTCTTTTTCAAACTTGTTCTAATAAAGAAATTTATTTTAATTCGCGCATCACTCCAACTTCTGCTAGATCTAAATCAAAGTTCTTCCGATATTTAAGTCCCGCCCCCATCTAATTTCTGATTGGCTAGTAGGCCTGTCTAGTGTGTTTAGAGTGAAATATGCTCCTGTGATAGGTCCAGAGAGATATCTGTTAAACAGTTGGCCCGGTAAGTCTGATTTTTTTCTTTTTCTCCCTTTGAAGGTAAGCTGGAAATCCGGCACGGTGCTGGAATACTATCAGCCCTGCTCACGGCATCTCTGCCTCAGTCTGCTCGCTTTTTATACCAGGCAAAAAAATACATTTAAACCAGCTGACGCTAACTTTAGATCACAGTTTGAAATGTACACCGAAGAAAACCCGCGTCATGACTTTTATACTGTGGTCAGAACAAACGTGATAAGTGAGCGGAGTCTGTCTGGCTCACACATGATGGTGGACAACTGCGCTCGCTCGAACGTAACAGTGAGAAAAGACCGAAAGCTTTTTTATTTTAATCCAGCAGGGAGAACGATAGAGGTGTTCTTCTATGCCTCCTGTGAGCAGCTCCAGCATTTTTTAAAAAAGAAAAACAACGCGGACACACTAATTACAGTGCGGCTTCAAAGCGAAAGTAAAACAAGGCGCTCGCTGCGCTCCCGTCCGGAAAGGAAACTTAAACACAGCTGTTCTCTCTCCCCTCATATTCCGACACAGAGGGTAGAAACAGCTAAATTAGACAGCTAAAACACATTTACAGTTCATAACTCACCCTATTGTTGTTGGTGCACTCTGTCTCACAACATTAGCAGCTGCTCTCTCCCCGAGGGAGGGTCCAGGAACATACACTCACGTGACCCAAAGAATGGATCGGCTGAACGAACGGACGTATCGGCCGATGCCGATACAAGGAAAAAAACGCAAATATCAGCCAAAAATATCGGCCGGCCGATGTATCGGTCGACCCCTAGTCAGCAGTCTTACCCTTGATTGTGGTTTTGAGTAATGAACCAGGCTGGGAGTTTTTAAAAGCCTCAGGAATCTTTTGCAGGTGTTTAGAGGTAATTTGTTGATTCAGATGATTAGGTTAGTAAGTCGTTTAGAGAACCTTTTCATGATATGTTAATTTTTTGAGATAGGGATTTTTGATTTTTCTTTATTTTGCCAAAATCATCAATATTAAAACAATAAAAGGCTTGAACTACTTCAGTTGGTGTGCAATGAATCTAAAATATATGAAAGTTTAATGTTTATCAGTACATTACAGAAAATAATTAACTTTATCACAATATGCTAATTTTTTGAGAAGGACCTGTATGAGTCATTGCGGCGCAGAGGTAATGCTAACACCACAAACTTGTTTAATCGCCTGAAACACCACCATGAACCAGAACACAATGATGCGGACTGAGGCTATAATGGCAAAGTATAAGCTGGAAGGATGTTATTTTGATGATTTGTAAGTCTAATTTTATAACACAGAGGAACTGTTTTAGAGTCAAAATATGCAAGTGAAATTGACATCTACTTATTGTTTTCGGGTAAATGCCACAATTACTCGTGATTAATTTGACAATATCGCCCAACCTTAGGTGCATCTAACAAAAGATCCAATCCTGTTGGGTAAACAAACTCACAGCTGAGCTCGTTAAACACTTCATTACCTGAATCCTCCGTCAGCAGGGATGGGAGCAGCAGAGGAGAGCCAAGGACAACGTTGTACCCGTGCTTTGCAGAACTCAAACTCCCCGACACCTGGTCCGTCCTCAGCCAACCACACAGGATCTGCACTGCAGGACCACCAAAACAACCCGACATTAATAACGAGTCTCAAACCTGAACCACCATTGGAGGCTCGCAATAAATGCAGTTTTATCTGTAAAGTTATTTATGTTTTTCCTCTACAAGTTATAAGTTCTATATATTCAGCTGAAAACTGGCGATCGTCTAGTAAAATTGTGAGTAACTTACACGTCCTGTGTTGGTGTTACTGAAACACAAGAGGGTGGAGACCACGTGCAGAACTCTGCTGCCTTTGCCTGGATAAAACACATCAAACAATAATAAAACCAAAACTAAAACAAAAGTGTGCAAAAAATAAAACCAAAACAATCACTGCATCTGAACATCCACGCCTAAAACTGAGTTTCTATTTCTAGGAATTAATCTAGAGTTTTGCAGAATTTAAGTAAAGATATTCTAAGAATGGATCCAGCAGAACTTTAGGTGTTTATGGGGCGGCTGTGGTGCAGTGGTAGAGCAGCCAGCTTTGGGACCCGCAAGTCACAGGCTCAAATCCCTGCCATGCCCACATGCCGTTGTGTCCTTGGGCAAGACACTTCACCCGGCTTGCCTACTGATGGTGGCCAGAGGGTCCGGTGGCGCCGGTGTATGGTAGCCTCACCTCTGTCAGTGTGCCCCAGGGCAGCTGTGGCTACAATGTAGTTTGCCATCATCAGTGTGTGATTGTGAGTGTGAATGGGTGAATGTCTGTAAGTGTAAAGCGCTTCGAGTATCCTGGATAGATCGAAAGGCGCTATAAAAAGTACAGTCCATTTACATTTAAAATTGATTGTATATTAATTAAACTGTTTTAATACAGCACGTTGGACCTGGTCTGGGTCAAACTAGTCATAAGTTGCTCCTGCAAACTGATAAAAATCAGTTATTTTCACTGTATGTAAAATAACAGGTGCTTTCAGACTGCAGGGGAATATTTCACACTAAATGTAACCAGTGGTGGGTGCAGCTAACCAAAAGGGTTAGGTTTACTAAGCACTAATCCGCTAAACAAAAATGTTAGCTCTGGTAATCCTCTAACACAGGGGTGCCCAACCAGTCGCTCGCGGGCGACTGGTCGCCCGCCAGCTGGTTCCCAGGTGCCAGCAAAGTGAAACCTTGCTGCGGAGCCTCTAGCACCGACTCTGAGCATCAGATCCCGGAGTGGCTGTCTTGTTTAAAAGCTCTGGTTCAGCCCTACAAGGTGAAAGTTGAATGAAGTCCCTGTGATGTTCCCCCGCGGAGATATAAGCAAAAAACCTCCAAAATATGCACCGTCTGACCTCCCGCTGGGGTGGTTTTAACCCCCCTCCCCGGGCTAGGAGCATAGGATCCTGGAGTGGCTGGTCAGGTTTTAAAGCTCTGGTTCTGCCCTACAAGCAGATACTTGAATGGAGTCTCTGTGATGTTCCCCCGCGGAGATAAGCAAATTACGCACGACTTAGTGCATTTTACGTGCATTTTCGGGAGGAAATTTCAACCTTTGTTTGCTTCTCCCGCGGGCTCTGAGCATCAGATCAGGGAAAGTGAGATGACTTTGGAAAGCTACAGTCCTCCTCTACAAATTGGAGGTGGTTGCAAGTTCCTGGGACGTCCCCCCACGGAGCTATCAACCAACGACCGGCCGAAAAAGGCACTTTGGTGGGCGATATAGTACTCAATTTACTCTGGAGCCTCTAGCGCCGGCTCTGAGCATCGGATCCGGGYGGTAGATGGTTCGTTTTAATATTCTGGATCTCCGCTACAACCTGGAGGTGGTTGCAAGTTCCTGGGACGTTCCCCTGTGGAGATATAAGCGATCAAAAGTCGTCGGGCGAGCTCCAGCGGGTGAAACGGCTGATTTCCAGCACGGGGCTGCTTGTGCTGATGCAGGGGAATAAAAGGAAGAGATCCAGTGAGGTGGAACCGCGGTCATGCGTCCAGCACCCGCTCTCCCGTCTGGATTTAGCCAGAAACCCCTGGAGGGCAATATTTCTGCAATAATGCATAAAATTCAGAAACCCACCTGATGGATCACTTCCAGGCAATAAAAAGAACAGATTTGGTCAGGTAAATTCGGTCCTGGAAGCAGCACCGGGTTTTATAACAGCCTGCCCCCTGAACCACTGGCGGGCAATATTTCTGCAATAATGCATAAAATTCAAAAACCCACCTGATAGAAATGTTCCAGGCGATAAAAGGAACAGATTTGGTCAGGTGAAACCGGTTCTGGAAGCTCAGTACCAGGTTTTATAAACAGCCTGCGAGAGTTTTATATTGTGTGCTTTGACTTTGAAAAAAAAAGGCAGTACTCTTGTGGTAGCCATGTTGACCGATAGTTTTTTTGTTTTGTTTTTTCTCCCCTGTATGGAGAGAAGGGAGTTCTTTGAATAAACAGAGACGAGTTCCCGTGCTCCAAGGTTATTTGACTCTGTGGTTCTTGCACTGGAAAGGGTTTCCAGCCCTCATAGCTCGCACGTTACAGTGAGTACTACTTGAAGGAGATTAAAAAAACTGATCCTTTTTGTTCAAGCATCACTTTTCTGTTTCTCTGTCAGGAGTTAAGTAAGGATTTTATATTTTCTTTTTTTGTAGGTGTATATGGTTAAGCAGATAGTTTTGTTTGACAATACTTTAAATTAAATAAAACTAGCAACACATTACGTTCTGTTTTATTTACTTTAAAGAAGTGAGGAGTAGGGAGACCATATTATGTTTTTTTGATACTGAGACTGGACGAGTAGATCTCGGCAAACTGCCGACTTCAAAAGTAGCTCTTAGTTCAAAAAAGGTTGGGCACCCCTGCTCTAACAGACTACAAAATTAGTGGAAGCTAACGCTAACCGCTAAGACAAGTGTCAGTCTTCATCTCATTAGAGTTGAAGATGGTGCGACTGAAACAAACCTGTTGTTAGTTTTCTATTGGTTTATTTTTGTTATTTAAACACTGCTTTTATTGCTCTTAGTTTGAAGTTTAGCTGTTAAAGATGCTACATGCTACACACACAGTGCATGACACGTCCATCACTTTTTGTAAGATGAGGGGATAGTTTTTTATTTTTTGGGATAAATGGCATCAAAATAATTTGACAACTTTTTTGTGGATTTAACTAGCGAAACCTACTCAGTCCACTAAGGTTAGCAAAATAGCTAAATACCAAGCTAGTTACGCTATTAGCAGAACTGTGCTCGCCTCTGTATATATTAATTTAAGGGAAGTTGCCTTTTTTTGGTTGTAAAGTGGTCATTAAMAGATCTTAGAACTTCATTTATAAGGTCTTTTTTCCGCTCATGTTTCAGGAAGTGCCTATGCTGAAACATGGTTTAAAAACACAAATTTCTATCATAAAACAGTTCTATCAAAATGGCCAAAAAAAATAATTACCCATTCCATCTTTGCACTCTGTCTGTTTAAGACCTTTTTACACAATATGTAGAGTTGCTATGTGTCATCATTGATCTTCCACTTGTTCCGTTTCAGCTCTGTTACTACCACGCTTCACGACACAAAAGCATTAACCCTCTAGCTGCCTGTCGATTCAGAAATCACACCAAGGTTAACAGAAGTTTCAGTCCCAGCTTGACTTTGTAAACACACATGGAGTGGTTGAACAAATGACCACAGATTTATTTACTGTTGTTGGTAAGCATCGCATCTGACTATCTGCAAAGTTTTATACAATCACAGTGATCCTCTAGCAACGCAAACAGGTTTGTAGCCCTCAGACCGTTTGGTCCAAAAATGTGATTGATAACTTCAAAGAACACCTCTACAAAAATCACAACTATTCCTTTAAAATGACAGTGACTCAACATTTGGAGATCAGACATCTGGATTTTCTCACAAATTTACTTCTGACTAAAGCATCTCTTATTCTTTCACTACACTGGGCAGAAACAGCTTCTTCTAAAAGCAACAGATTAAAAAAACAACAACTCACCTTTTTCCTGCTCAGTGAAGAAGGATCCTCATCGTTACCTGGAACAACAATAACAACAGGTCAGTTGTTGAAAACAACTTGTTTGATAAATTTGTGGGGGGTTTTCGACTCACATTTTCTCACAAGCCCTCTTGTTTTGGCGTCGGCCGAACTCTCTGTTTTCTGTCGCCTCGATCTTCTCCCAGGTTTACTTCTGACAAAACCCAAAACATTTTAGTTAATATGAAACTGATGATAAAATTTTATTTTCTAATATAACGTATTGTGCCTCACATCAAACATGCTTTTTGTTCAGGGTTTCTACAGCAGCAGCTTTCAGCTTCTGTTTGAGTTGTTCTCCTCCTCACAGGAACCTGGAAACAAACCAGGATCCATTTTAGTTTCGGTCAGACTGAAGGTCTGCTTTATTTTAATTAAACTTCTCCACACTGACCTGCACAAGGCTGAGGCTGCCGTCCCATCTGTAAATACTACTGAAGGCTCTTCTGTCCACAGGGCAGGAAGGAGACGTCTGCAGCTTTAAAACAAAACCAACAGCCTCTTAGGAACAAACCAAACACCAGTAAAAACAACATCTCCACCGAGCATCACCTCTGCCCAGGTGAGGAGACATCTGAGGCAGAAAACATGGCAGCAGCTGTCCGGCATGGCGAGCTCTCCTCCAGACAGGACGCCCAGACACACCGGACACTTCTCTGCGTCCTCCGTGTCGGACCCGTCCAGAGGGCCCTGGCCCCCTGAACACACAGGAGGATATTCACACACACGCAATGTGAACAAAGAAATAACACGCTTTGAGGATAAAACAACAGGTATGGTTGTGTGTGTAATCATCTCACCACTTTCAGCTCCGGTCATTTCTGACCTCAGGAAGTCCTGATCACAACTAAAACACAGACCATAGTTTTTTATTTGATTTAATGAAATCATTTTGATGCAATTTAAAAGTTACTTAGAAGAAACTTAACATGAATGTCGGACTCAGGATCTTGGTTGTGTATTAAATGGATAACCATCATGTCTTTGGGCCTCAGGGTCTAACCTCAGGTTACCTCTGGTGCTAGTCTGAGCAGCATTTACTTAACCATTATCCAAGCAAGGCCCAACAGAACTGCTCACCCTGCCATAAAGATCATAGTGTAATAAATTAAATACATCACGCTATCAGAACAATTCCAGATCAGACACTAAGACGATATATCAAGTACTTTTATATCTAAAATGTAACTGTGCATTAAATGTTACTAAGTTCAGACTAACGTCATTAGCATATAGACACATACTGACATGATACTGTATCTTTGAAATGACGTCAAATATGTGGATCAGCTCAGACAGGACCTGGTGAGACCAGGGGCCTCATGTATCAACGGTGCGTACGCCATTTTCCATGCAAAACTCCGTATGTATCAAAATTCAAATGAAAGTGGAAATGTGTGTAGCCCCACTCCAACTCCAGGGCTGGCGTATGCACTAGGGCTGTCACGATTAGTCGATTAGTCGACAACTAATCGACTAATCAATTATTAAAATAATCAATGACTAATTTAATAATGGATTAATCATCTTCATTTTTTGCTCTTTACTTTGTTTTTCTCTCCAAACTGCTTTGACACATTCCACTGCCAAATCTGCCTTTTTGTCCTTGACACACATGCACAGTAGTGGTAACCTGGGGGCCATGGACGTCACAAGACATTATACAGACAGGCTCTGGTATCATGGCTACCTCACAACGGAGCTCAAAAGTGTGGGATCGTTTTAAGAAAATGAAAGAGAAACCTGTGCAATGTAATATCTGCAAGGCAGAACCTGCCTTCCACAGCAACTATTTTTAGTTAGCATTTAGCTAAAATCTAACCATGGTTGTATAATAGCAGCTGCATTCTGGTGCGATAAGCTGTGTATATTCAATTAAAGTATGATCCGATCAGTCGACTAAAAAATAATCGGTGATTAATCGATTATAAAAATAACCGTTTGTGGCAGCCCTAGTACGCACGTTTCTGTGGTTTTGGTTCCATTGGCGACACTTAGAGGTAGGGCTGCCACAAACGATTATTTTTATAATCGATTAATCACCGATATATAACCATGGTTAGAGTTTAGCTATATGCTAACTAAAAATAACTGCTGTGGAAGGCAAGTTCTGCCTTGCAGATATTGCACAGGTTTCTCTTTCATTTTCTTAAAATGATTCCACACTTTTGAGCTCCGTTGCTGGGTAGCCATGATACCAGAGCCTGTCTGTATAATGTCTTGTGACGACCACGGCCTACCGCGGTTACCACTACTGCGCATATGTGTCATGGACAGGCAGATGTGGCAGTGGTAGGTGTCAAAGCAGTTTGGAGAGAAAAACAAAGTAAAGAACAAAAAAGAAAGAAAAAAAGAAAAGAAAACTATTAATCGATTATTAAATTAGTCATCGATTATTTTAATAATCGATTAGTCGTCGACTAATCGACTAATCGTGGCAGCCCTACTTAGAGGTGATTCTGAGAAACTGTTAATGATGTGAAAATGATTATAGTTCACACCAGACACACATGATTAAAAATTTTTACATCCACGATTAACAATTTTTACATTCACATGGACGCAGTTAAATAAAGGAATGACAAAGTTGTGCCAAAAATACATTTACCAGGAACAGATTCAGCCTTACTGGAGGATATAATAAATAGTGTTAACACGTAGAGTATTTATTTATAAACAGATAGAATTTTCTGATTCAAGACTACGACTGGCTCATCAGCCGTTTTGAGGAAAAATCATTTTTCAGTTTGGCACGACACAGCGAGGATCCGGTGTGCATTAGGGTTGGGCATAATCGTATCGTGCGCAACTCTAATGTCAGAAAAACATTAATCGATTACTTTTTGGCACTTGACGATTAATTCGATTAATGCCACTAGGGCTGAAACAACGAATCGATAAAATCGATAAAAATCGATTATTAAAAAAGAGTTGGCAATGAGTTTCATTATCGATTCGTTGTGTCCCGCGACTTTTATGCGTCCCTCGCCATGTTGCGGAGCCATTTACGTCACCTGCAGAGCGTTGTCAATGCTGGCTGACCTAAATAAAGTTTAGGAAGAAAAGAAAACTCTACCTGTAATGACCTGCCCTCTCTGAGACCCTCAAGTGAAAAGGAGAGACTTTGAACTTTAAACCAGTTTTTAAATTGTGTTGTTAGGCCAAGTAGATCCAAAGATATGAAAGAAAGTACCGTATTTTTCGGACTATAAGCCGCACCCGCCATTTAAAAAAAAAAAACCTGCAAACATTAACATATAAGCCGCACCGGACTATAAGCCGCACCCCCAACATAAAAAAAACAGTACACCCAAATTTGTCGTCAAAAAAGTGAATTCAACATCAAAACAAAAAAAGCAAACCTTTAAGAATTAAAGTTCGGAGGAATACGGTTCATTTAACCAAACTTATTTTGGTAGTTTTCTTTAACAGTTTCTGGTCCAACAAAACGTCTCATTCATTGTCCTCCGGCGCACTGAAACCATCGAAGTCCTCCTCTACAGTGTCGGAGTTAAACAAGCTGAGAAAAGCTGCGTCACACAGCGGTATCTGTTCAGTGTTGCTTTCTGTGTCGCTGTCCTCCCGGGGTAATGCTGGCTCTGAAGCTGTGGTGTCCTCTTCACGTAGCAGTCCAGCTTTTCGGAACTTGAGCTGAGCTGATGTGCAGTGGCTCTATTTCCCTCCTGTTGCGCAATTTTGATAGCCTTCAACTTAAAAGCGGCATCATAGGAAGATCTTCTATTCTTT